TTCTGAAGGTTGAGTACTTCGCTCTCGCTATTTTTTGTGCTGTATATCAGTGTACTGTAACAAATTCTGACTAAAATTACAAAAATTATACAAACATTTTATTCTCTTTAATGGCAACGAGATTTCTTCTAAGGTTGATTCTACAATTAGAAAGTGAAAAGAAAATTCTTTCAACTAACATTTCCTTAGGGCTCCGCAAAAATATTCACGTTTTCATAAGATAAGTCAACTCAAAGTTAGAAATTGTTATAATCATTTAATAGTTGTAACTACATATCAGATGTAGTTCCAGTACCACTTACCTCAAAAATCTTGAAGAGTAGCCTTTCTTCTCGAATTTTCTCGTTTACACAGAATCGAAGGATGACGTTTATTTATATCAATTTCTCAGGTCCGAACTAACCTTGTTCATCCATCTCATTTTTGGTCTCCCGTGGTTTTTTACAAAGTACTTCCATTGACAGAGTCATTCTTGTTAGTCGTTCTCTTCACTCCTGCTCACATGTCCGTACCAGCACAATCACCTCTCCTACATCTCCTGGACGATTGGGGAAACCTTCTTTGCGATCTAACCATGTCGTGACAGATGTGATCCTTCATCGTGTGACTTGAGGTCCATCACAGCATCCTAGTCTCCCTGACACCAAGCTTGTCTTCTTCTTTTCGCATGCTCGGGCAACATTCAATCCCATACAGCGCGAAACTTGTGATTTAAGATGTAACGGCATTCTTCTGCCAAAGAACGCCTGTCAAGCTCCTCTACTTCAACCAGGCCGCACTTGTTTTAGCCGACAGTTCGTCTTCAATTCCTCCTTCCGCGGATGCGGTTTCCCAAGTACTTGAACGACATCGTTTTCTTGGCTCACCATGCATAGGTTTTGGGGTTTTGACTTCCCATCTTCATATATTCAATATTCTTCGTGTTTCAAGGTAGTTGCAGATGGTTTTTCCATCTCTGCACCTCTTCTTCGAGTTCTTTCCTATCTGCCAGCAACTTCATCATCAGCATAGAGGGGCATGGCGGTTATAGGAGGCCCGTTACTGCGTCCGTCACCGTGATGAAGAGCAAGGGATAGAGCACCGAACCTTGATGAAGGCAGTGATGAGGAACACTTTTGAGCGGCCGGCTGCTGTCTGCAAGTGGCTGTTTCGTGGTAGTTCATTTTATTCCATTCAATATATTCTTCCGGAACATCATCTTCGTAGCGCCCACCGTATAATACTATGAGGCACCCTATCGAATGCTTTTGCCAAGTCCAGAAGACCTGCATGCAACTTCTCCTATAGTATAAATGGCGTCAGTAATACTAGAACCCTTTACAAACTGCTCCGGCTTGGTAACAGCTCTATAAAGTCGTGTTTCGGGTATTCTTTCAAAAATCTTCAGAGTGTGATTCATCAGTCGGATTGATGTTGTAGATTGCGACATCACCTTTGTTCTTATTGGTCTTCTACTGGTGAACCAATCTCGAGACATTTTTTCTTTGACGACTTGATTGATAAGACTCGAGAGCCAAGAAACATCATCGCGTCACATTCCTTCCAGAACTCGCTGAATCATTTGAACCAGTTGCCTTGCCGTTTTTATCTTGGTTACTACTATTAAGACTTCCACTTCAGTAATTCGTGGCACTGAACTTCTATAGGATTACCTGGGGCGGTGTTGCTGGCAATGGACTCTGTGGACGCTATTTCTTCGAAGATGTCTGCCATCTTGCCAGTCCTGAGGTCTTTTCAGAGTTCTTGTTCAATTTGGTGGTAGTGCCCTTTATTTTTTTGTGAAATTTCCTCTCTTTCTCACGATTCGGTATACTTCTCGTTCTCCATCCCGGGTTTCCAATTTTTTGTGAAACTCGCCTATGTAAGCCTGCTTAGTTTTTTTTTCACGCAAACTTTTGCTTTATGCTTTGCCTGCAATAATTTCTGACGATGCCCTACCGGTTTTGATTTTTGCCATCGTTTGTATGCACCTCTTGTCTTTCACCACATCCTGTACTTCATCATTCCACCACGCCCCCTTTTATTCTTGAACTGGCTTTCCACAACCTAGAGCACTTCCCATCACTAGTGGACACTGGTTTTCAGGCAAATGCATTGCTGGCCATAGCGTTTTAGTTTCCACCATTTGTTGCGCTGTATGTCTGCCCTTTGTTTCTTTTCCTTCGTCTATCAGCTGGCACTTTGTGATGTAGGGGCTTGTATTGAGGTATGCAACTTATATCTGGGATAACTTTGCAGTCTCTTATACTCATGAGCTCATTTCGCCTTACCGCCCCAAGGTCTATTTGTGTTCTTCAGTCCCCACTTTTACGTTATGAAAGACCATTCTTTTTGATGTAGCAGTCGTTCGCCAACCAAGTCGCAAACTGTTGTGAACTCGAGAATGCGTTCGCCCTCTTCAATTCATGTCCCACTTCTGCAGTTCGCATGACACTTTCCCGCACCATTTTGCTCCCGGAGTGGATCTTGAGTATCATAGGTCGGTCCTTCCCACGTTCAACTTTAACTATTGTGAATCTCAGGGCTTCAGAGATCGCTATACCAACACTATTTTCATGCTCCTTGTATAACAGCTTACACCCATCTCCGATGCCGCGTGACTTCCCGCCTTTCTATTTGGTTTCTTGTAAGCAGGCTATATCCACTCGTTTTTCCAGTCTGCCATTTCACGGTGTCTTCCAACGATGTTCCCACCTTGATTGTGGCTAGTCAGAGTTCTAGGTTTTTAGATAGTT